TTATCTAAGAATTTTCACTAAAATAGTTATACAAACGAGCACTCATCATTCTCAGATTATTAAAACAATTTAATGCTCCACAGATATCATGCTTCTTATAATCAAATCTATTTACTCACTGAGTAAACTTTGTAAAATCTAGGAACGCTTGTTCAGGAATTCACTATTTTTGGGTTTTATTAATTTTTCTAAAAAAAATTGAATCTAAAAAAATTAAATTAAAAATTAATTGAATTAAAAGAATAATTGAATTAAAACTGCAATAAAAAAATGAAGTTTAAGATATCTCCCCTTTTAACAGAAAAATTTCTGTTAGATGTCTCTGTTGTGTAATTCCGTAGTTAGCAGGTATCGCATATGGTATGCGCCCAATTCTCAAATTTAGAAAATTGCTATCCTCAGCAACAGACTAAACTAGTCGAGTGAAGCTACTTCTACGCAGGTGGAACACACACACACACACACACACACACACACACTTGTTAAACATCAACAGATAATCATAACTCAACATGTATAAATAAAGGAGACATAATTAAACCCAGACTGTCAAAACAAAATACTCAAAACATCAAAATAAAATGCTAAAGTGAAATAAATGGTGAAGTGTGTGATATGTCATGCAAAATAATCAGGAGTCCTCCATGGTGTCATTGACGTCATCAACTGCGGTGGCTAGAGGATCATCCTGCTGAGGAGGTGAAAACTGAGGTCGGTAGTTGGTGGTGTCAATCCCACGGTCCAAGAAGATCTGCTCCATCATCCTCATAATATAATCATTCTGGACCATCATCCGTTGTGTCCGACGATCAAGAGTCTGGAGGAGGAGAGAATCTGCAGAGGGGCCTACAGCTGCTGCCGGTGCTGGCTCATCCTCGGGCTCTGGAGATGCTGGAGGTGGTGGTGGTGGTGGTGGGGCTCCATCTGGTCCATGAGACACTTTCAAGAGTGCATTCCTGATGGACTCATTCCTCATCACAGTAAAATGTTGTTGAGTCATTTCCCGCGTACTCTTTACACCTATGGGCTCCTCATCAGGTATCTCCACTCCAGCCTGCAAACATAGCTCTGTAATCAATGAACTATGTGCTAGGCGAGCATCCGGCTTCCCATGAGTGATGACGTATACTATCCTATCAGACAAGATAGCACTAATGTTAAGATTCTCATCTCCCATGAGGGTATATAGCAATACCGCTCTTTCAACATTGACATCACTCAGATTTGTGGAGGCCATGACAGTAGAGTTAATGAAGGTATGCCAGAAAATAGCCTCTGGATTAAGATCTAGCTTGTCCATCTTTTCTGGCTCCTCCGGTTTCCCACTCTTTGTCTTCCACGCAGAATGTGGATGAGTGATGGAAATCCGGACTCTCTCAACTATATCCGGCATGTCCTCCCGGTAAACGCCTTTTCCTTCAGAAGGCTGCATATTGTTGAATGTTTACTGGAATTGACAGCTCTTGCTAGGATCATATGTGGCTTGAAGGAAGCTCTTTATTACTGCAGCAGCAAAAGAGACTTCATTCCCTCTTACCCAACTCTTCTGAGTCTCAGCCACCGTCTCCTTGTTAGCATTTGTACAAAACTCTTTTAATATTGTGCTGGAGCTGGGCTCAGGGAATCCCACCAATGTTTTCCATTTTTTCTCACTATTGTTTGCCACACTAGACAATCCTCATCTAGAAAAAGGCTTATTGGCCTCTCTGATATGATTTTCTTGGGTAGGAACCACTTGACGTACCGATCCTGGTTGTCAGGTGTCAGGAACCTGGTACTGTCAAATTCAGAAGATGAAGAGGCCTTGTGCCTCTTAGTGCCAGAGGTGGTGCCTCCTTTCTTGCCACCTGTAGTTCTTTTTTTTGTATTTTTAGCTTGCTTTCCCTGCACTCAGAAAAGTACCAACACAGTAGAATTCATGTTTGTTAACTTTGAAATTTATCAGTTAAGAACATGTCATGAAAATCAAGCAGACAGAATTCCCAGATTGGTATCTTCACAATCATGAATCACTTGTAGTTCATTATAATTTTCCACATAAACATAATCAATTCAGTGTGTATGTAACAATATTTGTGCTATCTATGTAACCAAAAATATTATCTTGCTAGACTATGATCATCAGAGCACCAGGGAACACTATCAATGCTTTTATTCTAGAACATAGCAGAAAGTATCACATGGCATAAGTTAATTACCAAATTAAGTTAGCAGAATAGGCAGCCATCACTAATTTCATATTCTTGCAATAGGATCATTACTATTGTATATATGAACTCATCAGAAAAAATAACAATTCCCAATCAGATGTTAAACCATCAGCAGGATATTACTCTTTTTAAGCACTATCTACCAGTAAGGATTTTAGACCAATCAGGTATCAAACAATTAGTAGGTATAAGAAAAATTTCTAGTTATCCTTAACCCATTCTGAAATTTCCTTGTTCAACCCGTAAGTCTAGTATAGGTGATGATTATTTATTTTCTACTAACAATTCTCATGATATGCAGCTACCTATCTCACCAAGCCATTTACTCAAAGGATGTGCTACTATATTTTATTGTAATCAATGACATTTATCTGCAAAACTTCTGAACCATACACAATCAACCAAAAACATGAATTTGGCAAACACCCAATCACCTTATATTTATGGTATACCAACTCGGTAAACAACGAAAAATTGTGCCATTGAGACCAATCAACAAACACTTAGCATGCCAGGAAGAAGGTTACCTTAGTTTTATCCATGGATGTATTTGAAGAAACAATAACCCTAATGTTTTCCATCATGCAATTAAAAAGAATCCCCAAAATTTGAATTGGGTGCTCCGGTGAAGGAAGGTGGAAGACTGGTGGTAATGTCGTGGGTTGTTTAAGGAGATGGTGGAATTGGTTACCGGTGATTTGAGTGGTTTAGGGAAAGGAGGGAGAGATAGGCTTGCCGGTGGTTATAAGGTGGCGACCGACGATTTATGGTGGAGGCTATGGTGGTTAGAAAATAGAAAAAGAGTGAGAGAGAGAGAGAAAGGAACGGTGGTGGTGAATGGTGGAACTTGGGCTGAATTGGTGGTGGTTGAGGGAGGAATGGGTTGGCTAGGACGAACTGGTATAGTGGCTGAGGAAGAGGTTTGGGGTGTGGTGGATGTGTAGTGTGAGAGAAGAAGAAAGAGGGCTGTGAAGAAGAAGGGAGGAAGAGTGAGGGAGGGCAGGGAGAGGGCTGCGAGAGGAAGAAAGAAAAGAGGGGATGGGGGGTTACTTTTAGGGTTTTCTTTTAAAAATCTGATTTTAAAATTGGTGCTGACAGCGTGGAGTTCACGCTGTGAGCGCGGAGCTCTCTGTGTCTTTTGGGTCTATTGACACTGACAGCGTGGGTCTCATGCTGTTGGCGCAAATCTTTCGTGAGTCTCTGGCGCTGACAGCGTGGGATTCACGCTGTGAGCGCGGAACTCACTGGAAATTTTTGGACCTATGACACTGTTAGCGTGATACCCACGCTTCTGGCGTGGATTTCCTTGTAGAACTCTCACGCTTACAGCTTCATCATGGCGCTGAAAGCGTGAAACTCACTGTGAAATTTTATCTTCTGGCGCGACTAGCGCCAGGTTGACGATAGCAACGCCACTTCCCAGATTTTTCTTTTCCTTTTGTCACCAATTTTTCACCATTTATTTAATTTTGTTTTCAACTAACCTAAAAAAAATTAAAACTACCATAATAAAATTGAAACAAAGAATTTTAAATTTTTCTACTGGGTTGCCTCCCAATAAGCGCTTGTTTAACGTCATGAGCCTGACGCAAACAGTCTAAGACTTAGGTGAAGTCATAGGGACAGAAACCTTGTCCCTATTTACCTATCCTCCATAGTACAATTTCAGCCTATAGCCATTAACTTTGAAAGGATTATCAGTGTCTATAGGAGAAATTTCTACTATACCATAAGGATATTTCACAACAAAGGGACCTGACCAGGGAGATTTGAGTTTACTTGGAAACAATCTCAGTCGAGAATTGTACAATAATACCTGTTGTCCCGCTCAAATTCCTTCGGAGCTATCTTCTTGTCGTGCCATTTCTTGGTTTTCTCCTTTTAGATCCTAGCATTCTCATAAGCAGCTAACCTGAACTCATCCAACTCATGTGATTGCAGTAATCGTTTATCATTAGCTTTAGTTGGTTCAAAGTTTAGAAATTTAGTTGCCCAGATAGTTTTGTGCTCTAATTCAACAGGGAGATGACATGACTTATTGTACACCAATTGGAATGGTGACATACCTATGGGAGTCAGGCTGTTCTGTATGCCCATAGTGCATCATCAAGCTTCCTTGCCCAGTCTTTTCTAGTGTTGCTAACGATCTTCTCTAGGATCCGCTTCAGTTCTCTGTTAGAAATCTCCACTTGCCCGCTTGTCTGAGGATGATATGGTGTAGCCACCTTGTGTGTGACTCCGTACTTCGTGAGAAGACTCTCAAATTTTTTGTTGCAGAAGTGGGTTCCTCCATCACTGATGATGGCTCTTGGAACTTCGAATCGTGTGAAGATGTTTCTTCGTAGGAAGGCCACGACTACCTTAGCATCATTTGTCGGTAGGGCCACTGCTTCCACCCACTTGGACACGTAGCCCACAGCAACCAAGATGTACTGGTTGGAATATGACATAGGAAAGGGTCCCATGAAGTCAATTTCCCATACATCGAAGACTTCCACTTCCAGTATGCAATTCAGCGGCATCTCGTCTTTTCGGGAAATTTTTCCCGTCCTCTGGCATCTGTCGCACTTCTCTACGAACTCCTTTGAGTCTTTGAATATTGTGGGCCAATAGAACCCACTTTGTAGGGCCTTCTTTGCAGTTTTATTTCCACCAAAATGTCCTCCGTAATCTGACGCATGGCAATGCCAAAGAATCTTAGGAATCTCCATCTCGGCTACACACCTGCGAATAATCTCGTCAATACATTGGAAATATAAATATGGGTTATCCCAGTAGTACCGCTTGGCATCATGTAGGAACTTCTTTTTTCTGTTTCCATGTGAGTTCTTCAGGAATTGATCCTACAACTTTGTAATTCGCGAATTCGGTGAACCATGGTCCGAAACGAACTGCCATCACTTGTTCATCAGGGAAGGATTCTTTTATCTCAATCTCAGGTCCATCTTGCAATTCTTTGTCTTGAATCCTTGACAAGTGATCAGCTAATTTGTTTTCAACTCCCTTTTTGTCTCGAATCTCCAGATCAAATTCCTGGAAGAGAAGCATCCAACGCAATAACCGCGGCTTCGCATCCTGTTTACTCATGAGATACTTCATTTCTCATTTATCAAGTAAGGTCTAAATTTATCTAATGCATATACTACAGCTAACATTTCTTTTTCAGTTGTGGCATAATTTACTTGCGCCTCATTTAAAACCTTGCTAGCATAGTAAATCACATGTAATAGCTTATCCTTATGCTGACCAAGTACTGCTCTAATTGTGTATGCGCTTGCATCACACATGAGCTCAAAAGGAAGGTTCCAATCAGGCACCATCAGGATAGGCGCATTTGACAGCTTTTCCTTTAGCAGATTAAAGGACTTTAGAGATTCTTCATCAAATTTAAACTCATTGTCCTTCACCAAGAGTTGACTCATTGGCTTTGCAATCTTGGAGAAATCTTTTATGAATCGTCTATAAAAACATGTATGGCCTAAAAAGCTTCAAACACCATTCACATTAGCAGGAGGGGGAAGTTATTCAATTAATAACAGTTTTGCTTGGTCAACTTCTATCCCTTTTTCAGAAATTTTATGGCCTAATACTATTTCATCTTTTACCATAAAATGACACTTTTCCCAATTTAAAACCAAGTTTGTTTCTTGACAACGCTTCAATACCTTAGATAAATTGACTAAGCATGAATCAAAGCAAGAACCAAAGATAGAAAAGTCTTCCATAAATACCTCCAATGATTTTTCAATCATATCAAAAAAGATGGAAAGCATGCACCTTTGAAAAGTGGCAGGTGCATTGCAGAGTCCAAATGACATTCTTCTGTAGGCGAACACTCCAAAGGGCAAGTGAAAGCTGTCTTCTCATGATCCTCTGGTGCAACATGTATCTGGTTGTAGCCGGAGTAACCGTCTAAGAAACAATAATATGCATGTCTGGACAACCTTTCCAGCATCTGATCAATGAAGGGAGAAGAAAGTGACCCTTCCGTATGGCAGCATTTAATCTTCTATAATCCACACACATCCTCCATCCAATTATAGTTCTGGTGGGAATCAGTTCATTACTCTCGTTCTTGATTACTTTAACTCCACCCTTCTTTGGAACTGTTTGGACAGGACTTACCCATGCAGTGTTTGAGATTGGGTAGATTATGCCGGCCTCAAGGAGTTTTACTACTTCCTTTCAAACTACCTCTTTCATGGTAGGATTTAGTCGTCTCTGAGGTTGTCTCACAGGTTTAATGTTGTCTTTCATCAGTATTTTAGGAGTGCAGAAGGAAGGATTGATTCCTTTTAGATCAGAGATGGACCATCCTATGGCTGTTTGGTGATCTTTGAGCACTTTCGTCAACTTGGTTTCTCCAGTCTCTGATAAATCATTGTTGATGATGACAGGATACGTCTCCTCATCTCCTAAGGAGGCGTATTTTAAATTAGGTGGAAGTTCTTTTAACTCCACCTTTGGTGTTTCTGTAGTGATGTCTGACTCTTTCTTTTTCAACTCTTCCGTTGGAATTTCAGCATCTTCCTTCGGAGGATTTTCATCGAAGAATTCCTTCTCTTCATCAAGAGTCTGATCTTCTTCCTTTCCAAGGAAAAGTTCTTTAAGAATTTCCACCCGGAAGCAGTCGTTATTATCTTCAGCATGCTTCATTGCATCGAACACATTGATTGTGACCTTTTTGTCATCCATTCTCAGCTCTGGCTTTCCTTTCTCCACGTCAATTATGGCTCTTGCTATAGCGAGGAATGGTTTACCCAACAGAAGAGACATGTTTCCTTCTTCTTCCATGTCAAGTACTACGAAGTCAGCAGGGAAGATGAACTTTTCCACCTTGACCAACACATCTTCAATAACTTTGTTTGGTCTTCTCAACGTTCTGTCAGCAAGTTGGAGAGATACCATTATCGGCTTCAACTCGAAAATTCTGAGAGACTTCATCACGGACAGCGGCATGAGGTTGATGTTTGCTCCAAGATCGCATAATTCCCGGCCAACATTAATGTTGCCTATCGCAATCGGGATGTTAAAACTTCTTGGATCTCGAAGCTTTGGTGGAAACTTTTTCTGAATTATGGCACTGCATTCCTTTGTGAGAGCCACTATTTCAAATTCCTGCAACTTATGCTTTCTAGACAAGAGTTCTTTCATAAATTTAGCATAGTTAGGCATGTTAGCTAAAGCTTCAGCAAAGGGAATATTTATTTGCAACTTTTTAAATATTTCTAAAAACCTGGCATGTTGTTGCTTCTGTGCTTGCCTTGACTTTATGGGATAAGGTGGTTTCTGAAAGCGAGAAAAATCCCATTGCTTCTTTGGAATATCTGAAGCTTTCTCCTTTGCCTCCTCTTTGTCTTTTTTTGCAGGTGTTTCCTTCTTTTTTTCTTGCTCCAGTTCAATGACTAGATCATTTGCCTTCTTTTTCTGAACCGCTTTTGGTTTTTCTTGAGGAGTGATCACAATTCTGCTTCTTGTAACAATTGACTTGCATTCTTCTCGCGGATTGACTATTGTGTTACTTGGAAACTGGCCTTTAGTCCTTTCTTCAAGTTGTCTTGACAATTGACCAATCTGGTTTTCCAAGTTTCTGAGAGATGTATCCTGATTTTTGTGATGAGCCCTTGTCTCATTCATGAATGTGTCTGTTGTCTTTGTCAACTGTATCAATGCTCTCTCTAGCTCAGATGGTTGATTTTGTGGGACTTGAGGAGGTTGTAAAATTGTTGGATTTGTAATCCAAACATGTCCCTTGAACTCTCCTTTAGAAGTTTTTCCCTGGAGCATTGTTCTGGTTCCTCTGGAAATTCTGCTGTGGTTTTGGTTCATACCAGATTCAGTTAACTTGTACAGCATCTGATCCTACCAATGTTAGGCACTCGTTGGTATCATGCTCTCCTTTGTAATACTCACAGTTAACCGAGTTAACTTGAGCTATAGAAAGTTGCATCTTGTCCAACTTAGCGTTCAAACTGGCTATCTGTTCAGATATGATCTTTTGTTCTGCTAGCGATGCATCATTGTTTCCCAATTGCAGAATTCCTTTTCTTGGTTGAACTGGTTGAACTTCCTTTGATGCGTTCTCAGTCCTTGCCATGAAATCGATCAGCTCTAAAATTTGAGCTGCTGGCTTCTTTCTAATGGTTCCACCGGCTGCACCATTGACCACCATTCTGGAGTCTGGTGTTATTCCATAGTAGAAGACTCTGACTTTCTTTCCGTCCGGCAAGTCATACTGGGGGCACTTTCTGATCAATTCTTAGAATCTGGTCCAAGCTGTGCACAACGTCTCTCCTTGTTGTTGAGTGAAGTTGGTGATTTTATTCACCAACTTGTTGTATTTATCCCTGGAGAAGCGCGCTGCGAAGAATTTAGCTGCCAGATCATCCCACATTCTGATGCTGTTGGGAGCTTGTCTATCCAACCATATGAGATCTTTCCCTGTTATAGCAAAAGGGAACAGTCGGAGTCTAATTGCATCATCTGACACTCCGTTATGCTTGGTAGTGTCACAGATTCTCAAAAATATGTCCATTAAATCAAGGGGGTCTTCGTAATCTTTCCCGCCAAATGGATTTTTCTCCACCAAGGATATCAGTGCTGGCTGGATATCAAAATTATTGGCGTTGATTGGTGGTATGATGATGCTAGAATTTGGCCTTGTGAACAGTGGAGCCAAGATTGAATCCATCAACTCCTCCTCTGGTGGTGGTGGATTGTGAGCGGCCATCTCGGGTTCTGCTTTTGGCTCGGAACTCGAGGATTCCTCTTGCTTCTTTAGTTTGGTTAGCTTCCGGTTCTTCTTTGCAGTCTTCTCGATTTCTGGATCAAACTGTAAAGGTTCGCTGTTAGCTTTACCTCGCATAAAAGAGAGAAATCAAATTAGTAACAAAATAAAAATAAAAATTCTAATCTCAAAGATCGAAAGTTAAAACTAATCTTTGCAGTATTTTTTTTTTTTTTTTTGCTTATAATACGATGAACTATTTGTAGGCTGTGTTGGACAAGTGGCTTCAATACTCAAGAGTGGGGGTGAATTGAGTTTTAAAAAATCTTTTTGCAAAGTGTCTCCTTTGATATTTTAAAGAGTTTCTTCAATAAAATAATTTAATAAGGAAAAATCTAAGTGTGAGAGCAAGTGTGAGATCAATAAAGTAAGCAAGCAAATAGATAGACACAATCAAAAATTGCAATTTCAATATTAAAGTAAAGAGTTTAAGGTTAGATAAACTGCAAACTAGATGTATCATGGTTCGGTCACCACCATCGTGACCTACGTCCAGACTGAAGCCGCTCGATCAAACTTTTTCACTAACTATCGAGTTTGAGGGTGCTTGACAAACCACTACAACTTTTCAAGACTTCGGGCTCTTGATGCCTTACAATTTTTCACTCCAAGTTTTCTTAGGAATTTGGTGACCTCTCAAGTGTATAGGGTTCACTCCCCTAACTATTCAAGAAATCAAATAGAGGTATTTAACAATGGCTAAGTACTCTCAAATTACAAATTATATAAGTTGAAGAACTATGGTTGTTGACATTCTCACAAGAATAAAGCTTAAAGAGAATTTATGATCAAGAAGACAAGAATAATGAAAGAAGTATGATATAAATGAGTAATAATGATCAAGAAGTGTAGTCTAATCAATGGAACAGTAATCTCTATTTATAGAGGGCCTTCATGGGTGTTTTTCTACTCATTTTCGCAAACTAGCCTTTTTATAGCCGTTATTTTATCTTCTGCACAGTAGGTAATCGATTACCATTGTGTGAGTAATCGATTATCATGAAGAGTAATCGATTACCATTGCTTGGGTAATCGATTACCAACCTGTTAAAAGGTTGGATTTCGTCCCAAAATGGTTTTTCTCATGATCCAAGTCAGTTTCAAATCCTTTTTAAGTATTTGATAATCACTGAAAATAGATTTTCATGTTAGGAATGCATTTAAATGATAAACGATGATTTAATGCATATATTTGAAAAATTCTTTGAGCTTTGTTCATGTAAGAAATCAATTTCCCTTTCAAATGATCCTAAGTCCTAAGATATGTTACTTTGAGATTGTTTGGACTTAGAGTCTTCTCTTGAAGCTTGATTCTTGATCTTCTTTCGACTTTGTTTTGATGGTTGCACTTTGAGGCTTTCTTTCTATACTTGTTTGTTATCATCAAAATCGTTGAACCTTTATATTCTTTGCGTAGAGTGCATTGGTTCCACAAGCTGTGGTTCGTTTTTTTCTAAAAAAAATTGAAAGATTAAAATCTATTAATAGCCATAAACCAAAATAAGAATTGCTGACTCTTGACCTTTCATTGTCCTAAAAAAAATGTTGAATTAATCTCACTAAAAATAAAACTGACATTTAACATCTGTTGAATTAATCCACTAAAAATAAAACTGACATTTAACATTTATTCAACATTAACTCTATTCAAAAATAAAGCTGACATTTAATATTTTGTTCACCAATGCTAAGTGATTACAAATATTTCTAATTGAGTTTCTAGTAGTTACCCCTTTGGATATATCACCAATTACCACATCAATGAGGTGTCCTCTAGCTACTCTTCAATCTTGTGGTAGATTGTTTATGTCATTGTTTGTTAACTTGGTGTTTCTTCATTGTTTGCTTCCTTTTCTTTTTGCCTTTCATCTTTCTCTTTTCCATCCAAGTTTATGTTTTTCATGCTTTCTATAAGATCATCATCACAAAGTTCTTTTCTAGGCAAGACATTGTTAGTCTCATTAAATACAACATGAATAAACTCTTCAATGACCATTGTTATCTTATTATAGACTCTAAGCTTTACTTGTAAGTGAATAGCCTAGAAATATGCCTTCATCTGCTTTAGAGTCAAATTTGCCAAGGTTTTCTTTTTCATTGTTTAAAACAAAATATTTGCAACCAAAGATATAAAAATATGAAATATTGGGTTTTCTTCCTTTGTAAAGTTCATTGGGGTTTTCTTCAAAATAGGTCTAATTAAAGCACGATTCATAACATAACAAGCGGTGCCAACGGCTTCAGCCCAAAAATATTTTGGAAGATCATTTTCATTTAACATGATTCTAGCAAGTTCTTCCAATACACGATTTTTTCTTTCTACAACTCCATTTTGTTGTGGAGTCCTAGGAGCGAAAAAATTATGTTCAATACCATTTTCTTCACAAAAGATTTCAAAATCTTGATTTTCAAATTCTTCACCATGATCGGTTCTAATTGAAACAATATTTGAACATTGTTCATTTTGAATAAATTTGGCTAATCTCTTCAATGATTTGCTTTTAAATGTGAGAAATAAAGTCCAAGTATAGCAAAAATAATCATCCACAATGACCAATGCATAGTAATTGCCACCAAAGCTCATGGTTCTAGTTGGTCCAAAAAGATCCATATGCAAAAGTTGTAAAGGCTTTGTGGTAGAAAAATATTTTTTGATATAAAAGAAGTCTTTACTTGTTTTCTCATTTGACAAGCATCACAAACTTTATCTTTTTCAAATTTGAGCTTTGATAACCCAATAACTAGGTCTAAGGAAATCAATTTGCTTAATTGACCCATGCCAATGTATGCTATTCTTCTATGCCATAACCAAGACTCATCTTCCTTACTAATCAAACATTTATCTTCATTTGAAAGCATACCATCTAAGTCTATCATATAAATGTTATCTACTCTATGACGAAGAAACTTAACTTGTCCATCAATTAGACTTTCAATTTTACAAGAGGTTGAGTCAAAAATTACTCTATAATTTTTATCACATAAATGACTAATGCTAAGCAAGTTATGTCTAAGGCCCTCAACAAATAAAATATTTTCTATAGAGTTCACTTCCCTAACTAGAGGTATTTAACAATGGCTAAGTACTCTCAAAGTACAAATTATATAAGTTGAAGAACTATGGTTGTTGACACTATCACAAGAATAAAGCTTAAAGCGAATTTATGATCAAGAAGACAAGAATAATGCAAGAAGTATGATATAAATGAGTAATAATGATCAAGAAGTGTAGTCTAATCAATGGAAGAGTAATCTCTATTTATAGAGGGCCTTCATGGGTGTTTTTCTACTCATTTTCGCAAACTAGCCGTTTTATAGCCGTTATTTTGTCTTCTGCACAGTAGGTAATCGATTATCATTGTGTGAGTAATCGATTACCATGAAGGGTAATCGATTACCATTGCTTGGGTAATCAATTACCAACGTGTTAAAAGGTTGGATTTCATCCCAAAATGGTTTTTCTCATGATCCAAGTCAGTTTCAAATCCTTTTTAAGTATTTGATAATCACTGAAAATAGATTTTCATGTTAGGAATGCATTTAAATGATAAACGATGATTTAATGCATATATTTGAAAAATTCTTTGAGCTTTGTTCATGTAAGAAATCAATTTCCCTTTCAAATGATCCTAAGTCCTAAGATATGTTACTTTGAGATTGCTTGGACTTAAAGTCTTCACTTGAAGCTTGAGTCTTGATCTTCTTTAGACTTCTTTTTTATGGGTTCACTTTGAGGCTTTCTTTCAATGCTTGTTTGTTATCATCAAAATCGTTGAACCTTTATATTCTTTGCGTATAGTGTATTGGTTCCAAAGACTGTGGTCTGTCTTTTTTCTAAAAAAATTGAAAGATTAAAATCTATTAATAGCCATAAACCAAAATAAAAATTGCTGACTCTTGACCTTTCATTCTCCTAAAAAAAATGCTGAATTAATTTCACTAAAAATAAAACTGACATTTAGCATTTGCTGAATTAATCCACGAAAAATAAAACTGACAT